GACCCAAAGCCCATCTGTAGACAATTGGACATCCCCTTACAGAAGGGTCACAAGGAAGAGACAAGCCAGCCAGGGTGCAGTATAGCACTGATGAAACATACAACTTTCCTCTAGTTCTTTAATGCCCCCCCTCCCCACTATCATGACCCCAATTCTACCTTACCAATCTGGCTAAACCACAGGATGTACACTGGTAGAGATAAGAGCTGGAAACACAGGGAATCCAGGAAAGATAAACCTCTCAGGACCAATAATGAGAGTAGCAATATCAGGAGGGGAAGGAGAAGGTAGGAGGAGAAAGGGGGAACTGATCACAATGTTCTACATATAATCCCCTCCCACGGGGACGGACAACAGAAAAGTGGATGAAGGGAGACATTGGTCAGTGTAAGACATGAAAAAATAATTTATAAATTATCAAGGGGGAGGGTGGATAGGGGAGGAACAGAGAAAAAATAAGCGGATAACAAGGGCTCAAGTAGAAAGCAAATGTTTTGAGAATGTACTGATGTGCTTGACACAATGGATGGATGTATGGATTGTGATAAGAGTTGTATGAGCCCCCAATAAAATTATTTTTTTAAATCCCATCTTTGTTGGTCTGTCTCTTGGATACAAATTCTGTATCAATTCAGGGCCAGACACCACCCAAATAAGTTAACAGGGAACCTCATATATGAAGATGGGTTGGTTAACCAAAAGTGGTTAACTCCTAGAGATGAGAAACGGGATCCTGAAGGGAACCCGAGGGAGCCCTGGTGGCGTAGTGGTTACACGTTGGGCTGTGATGCGCAGAATCAGCAGTTTGAAACCATCAGTTGCTCCTAGGAAGAAAGCCTGAGCTTCCAACTCCCACAAACAGTTAGTACCTTGGAAACTCACAGGGTGACAGTTCTACTCTGTCTGCCCTACATGGTCTCTCCCTCTACGTTAATTCCTCCTCATTCTCTTTTCCTTTCGCTCCCATGTAATTTATCAGGTCCTGAATTTGTTTACCTATATTTCACCTCCTCCTGGGGGAACAAGACCCTGCCCTGCCCTAGCATAATGCTCAGCACAGTGGAAGTAATTCATAAATAATCCATTTTCATGAGTAAAAGGGACGCTCTTCAATCACCAGACACTTGTGTGCATCCAAAGATTTCATCAAGAGTAAAGAGAACCCGCAGACAACTCAGGCGAGGGACTAATCTCTAAAATATCTTGGAAACCTCAACACCTGAGCGAGAAAAAGACAGGATTCCGATGGAAAGCTGGGTGGAGGGCATGAACAAGCACTTGTCCAAAGAAGATTCTCAGGCTGCCCAGAGCCTTTGGCCGGGTGAGAGCTACAAATCACAAAGAGCGATGAGATACCACCTACCCCAAATGTGAATAGCCCCATTCACAATGATGGAAAAGGCCACACACGGGTAGTGCAGCTGGGGCTCTTGCCAAGCTGTGATGGTTTTCTTTAACACGGGGTTTCTTTACAACCAATTTCATTCGTTAGGTTTCACCTCTTTGTCCTGGCATTTTTCAAAATTGGCACGACGCTTTTTTTTTAGAGCTTCCCGAAAGAGTGAACTGTTTTCTTACTAGCCCTAAACTCCCCTTTGCTTTGACATTACATTCTCTTTTTAGAACTCAAAAATCATATCCTGGATTTTTCCATACCGGTATGTGCTTGATAATTGAGTGATGACTTGTTCTCAGTTCATTCCATAACATTTCCTTCTCTAGTGGCCTGACGCTGTTCCTCCCACTTGAACTTTACATGAGAATCTAAACGCTCTGGCTCTGCCGAGCCTGCTAACCCTTGCTGTCAGGGCCAGCAGGTTAGCCAGTGGCTCTGGTTTAGCCAGTGCAGCACTAACCCCTGTTCTTGGAAACTAACAGTACTAATACTGTGATTTCTTCATGTGCTGCTTTGAAACTTAAACGGATTGTCCTAGTTGACATTAGTAAGTAATTGCCAACTTTCCAATTTTGTTTTTTCAAAGCACACTTGGGAAGGTGGCCCCGTTTCTTACATTTTGAATTTGCTGTACTGAAGCTATAAAGATAGCAACCGTGTAACAGAGAAGAAAACAACCAACCAACCTGGCACAGACATCGCTTGTTATTTCAGTTGGGCCTCTGCTGTCACCTGGAATTTCCCTGATGGTCCAAGTGCCAGGACTTGTTTCTGTGAAGTTCAGAGAGGGCTGCTTTGTGTCAGTTCTCGCTGAGACTCCCTACCGTTCGCTTCAGTAGAGACCCTTAGGAGCCACGGCTCTCCGCTCCTGTTTAGTGTAGATTTGAGACCATCGTAAACATAGGCAGCCCTTTTGAAATGAGAGGTTCTTTGAGCACCCATGTTTTTTCCTTAGAGGTGTGATGTTATTGGAGGTCATCCTCATGAAGTTGTGTCATATGTCTTTCTGGGTTTGGGTACATGAAACCCAGGATTGATGAACGTATAGGGACAGCAAGTAGAACAAGGGTTTTGGGGGCGGGGGTGGGAGCTCTACAGTGATGGGCCTGGAGTAGAAGGGAGATGATGTCAAGGTGTCCAGGGAGAAAAAGAATGTTGGTAGCAATCGTACAATTCTGCTTGACATGATTGAACTATGGACTGATACGATCTATGTATCAACTCCCAATTAATACTACCTGTAAAATAAGTAAATAAAACTTGTAAAATGCGAGGGAAAGAAGCTCCTGAGATCTGCTCTGGTTCTCTTGCAGGTGGGCGGTGCTGCTGCTTCTCCCCGGACGGCAAAGCCCTGGCTGTGGGTCTCAGCGACGGCAGCTTCCTGATCGCCAACGCGGACACTCTGGAGGACCTGGTGTCCTTTCACCACAGAAGAGAGGTCATTTCGGACATTCGCTTTTCACCGGGTAAGAGGCTGTGGAAATCTTACTGCAGCGTGAACTCGGATCTGGCGGTCATGAAATCGCTCACGGAGTAGTTTGTAATAACCTTTGGCGTGATGGTCAGCCGTTCAAAACCACCCGCCGCTCCATGGGAGAAAGATGAGGTGTTCTACTCTTGAATGATGTAGAGTCTCTGGCTAGACTGGCATATGTACACTGGTACAGATAAAAGCTCTCGACAGAATCCCGGACCATTAAACCCCTGAGAAACAGTAACAGGAGTAGCAATGCCATGAGGGTACAGGGTGGGGAAGGGGAGGAAGAGGGAACTGATAGCAATGATGAATGTATAACCCCCACCCCCACCAGGGGAACAGAAAACAGAAATGAGGGTGATGGGACACAGCGGATAGTGTATGATATGAAAAATGATAGCATATAAAATTTATTAAAGGTTCGCAAGGGTGGGAGGGTGGAGGAGGGAGGGAAAAAGAGGAGCGGATATCAAAGGGCTCAAGTAGAAAGATAATGTTTTGAAAATGATGATGGCAACATATGTACAAGTTCACTTGATATAATTGATTTATGAATTGTTATAATATCTGGAAGAACTCCCAATAAAAGGTTTTTTAAAATAACTAAATTTCAAGGAAAAAGAAAAGAGATAGAGTCTCAGAAACCCACAGGAGCAGTTCTACCCTGTCCTGTAGGGTCACTGTGAATCTGAACAGATTCCATGACAGTGAATTGAGTGAGTTATTCTAGGTTAGAAATGCCCCCACCTGCTTTTTGCTTGTTTGTTTGTTGACTAGACAAGGGCAGTGCGGTGAGAGGCAGAAGTCATGGGTTCATGGATGGCAAGTTAACAGGCGCAGGACCAATCCTGACCCTTCCTTTTCTGTGTGCCTCCGGCCAACGGGCCTTTCTGAGCTCATTTCTCACGTGGAACATGTGAAAAGGGATGGATAACGGTCTCCATTAGAAGCTTTTAAAATTGCATTAGTTTGACTTCCTCAAGTTCCGTATATTCATCATGTACTCCAGAGCTGGCTATAATAAATATACAGACTCCTGACGCGAAGGCATCCTTTACTGAGGCTGATGTAAAAACTCAGACCCATTGCCTTCAAGTCCGTTCCGGAGCCTCGTGACCCCGATTTAGGATTTCCGGTGCTCATCTTTACAAGGGCCTCACCTTTTCTCCCAAGGAGTGGCTAGTGGGGGAAAAAAACTGTTAATATTTATCATTTCATTCCCTTACAGAAGGGTCGTGGGGAGGAGATGAGCCAGTCAGGGTGCAGGGTAGCAACAATGAAACATA